GTCAAGAAAACTTTTTAGTAAGAGGTATGTAAATTGATAGGCACAGTTAAGCTTTAGAAACAAATGTCTAAAATCTAAAACATTCCTTCAGATGTATGTAATTTTTAAAAAATTCCATGAATAAAAGGGTATCCCAAAAATAAATTTCTAAGACTGAAAATGAGATAAACGAGATAGTAAACATTATTCCTATAACTAATCCTGAGGCAGTACAGGAAAGGTTAGTTCTACTGACATAAGTTTCTGGAGACCTAATGATTGTTTCCAAGGGCAATGATAACGTAAGCTTTTGTCTCAGAACCCAAGTGAAAAGCAGGGTATAACAAAAGCAATTTACTTTATATTAACACATTGATATCCTGCTTTATGTTTTTTTGAAACTTATTTCATTTTAGGAGAAAACAGAAAAATTATTTTCAGGTGCTTGTGGTATTAGTGTGGGCTCAGGAGGAAAAAAAACAACACAGAGGGGTCACTTTAAGTCTTTGATTTGCCTGCCAATTATGATAAAGTCAGCCCATCAAATAAAATATTTTACAGAGAATAAAATCTTGCATTTCCTCCTCAGAAGTATGAGAAGGGAATGGGGGAAGAGGGGAATACCTGAAGAAGTAAACAATAGAGTAAATATAGTGAATGCTTCTTGGTAGCATATACTTTTTTTCATACTATCAAAAGATAGTTTGATTTCACAGAGAAAAAGAGAAATGATTTGTTTTCTCTTTTAAGAAAAATGTCAAATGTGGCCTGAAAGTTAAAAAAGGTTTACCGAATTATTCCTATCTCAAAGCCCTTTAACTGATCCATGACCTCATCCATGAAGGCATTCCTTACCCTGGTGAACAAATTGTAATCCAGCCACACTTTGGAACAAGTGAGTCCTCATCCACATCTTCTGACATACTGGAAGCCAGAGATCATTTTCTGAGTCTCTAGTAATACCTGGGTCACTGTGCAGCAACACTCAGACTGTCTCTTACTCTCAGAAAGCTCATCTCCTTTCCCAGTCACATTTTTTTCTGGATAATGTCCCTAATGCCCTTTCTTGAACTGAAATCATCACTGATAATATACTGAAGCCTACTTATGTTGCCCCATGCCTCTCCATTCCTCAAGTGTCTTTGAGTCTTTAAAGACTGGATTCCCTGACTCAGAGTCATGCAACATCTCAGGAAGAATATTGATATTAAGGAGGTGGTTTCAGGGAAAAAACCTTGAGGGCATTAAAAGCACAGAACAACTTCCCAAAGGCAATCCAGCCTACCTCCTTCTGTTCAACTCTGAGCCTGGTGCAGTGTTCATCAGCACTCTGTCCAAGGTAGAGGTACTGATGGGCCAGTCCTATGGGCTACGTGTAATATGCTCTTCAATGGTAGAGACAGTCTTACTTTTGTACCTGTATGTTGAGAACCTATTACAGTGCCTAGTTCAACAAGCATTGCTTAATCAATGCTTGTTGACTGATAGTCTGGACCACAGGCATAATTCTTTTGGCTTTCCCTGTGTGGATAATACAGTAACACTCTTTTGTGTGATAATGGAAGCTCTACAGAGTTCTGTAAAACAGTCAACACAATGTCATCCTTAAACAGGACTTCTCGAACAACTTTACCATCTACACTGTCTCTTCTATTTGGATATACTGTGTTGAACATTTTGCAAACATAGAGCAAATACATAGGGGACCATTTATCTCTCTGTTTTACACATTACTTGATATTAATAACCAAAAGATCTTCAAACAAAGTTATCTCTATCGCTATGTTTTTCATGAAATCTTTTTTTCTTTTTCGTAATTAATTTATTTTGAATTATCAACAATCACTTCCACAAGCTTTTGAGTTTAAAATTTTTCTCCCCCTCCCTCCCCAAGATGGCGCACAATCTGATACAGGCTATACATATACATTCTTATTAAACATATTTTCACATTAGTCACGTTGTAAGGAAGACTTAGAACCAATAGGAGGAACCACCAGAAAGAGGAAACAAAACACAACAGAAGAAAAAAAAATAGCAAATAGTATGCTTCGATCTGCATTCAAACTCCACAGTTTTTTCTTCTTTGTGGATAGCATTTTCCATTATGAGGCCTTTGGAGATGTCTTAGAACCTTGTATTGCTGAGAAGGGTTAAGTCTATCAATATTAGTCATCGCACAACGTGGCTGTTACTGTGTACGTTTTCCTGGTTCTGCTCACTTCACTCAGCATCAGTCCATACAAGTCTTTCCAGGTTTCTCTGAAGTCAGCCTGTTCGTCATTTCTTATAGCACAATAGTACTCCATCACATTCATATACCACAACTTGTTCAGCCATTCCCGAATTGATGGGCATCCTCTCCAAGAAATCTTTTAAGATTCTGTCATGCATCTTGTTGAAGGAAAGCCTTTAAAGGAGTACTCTGTTCTACCAAGTCAAATGCTTCTTCATAGTCAACAAACAATAACCACAGTGGGATCTTGTGTTCTCTACATCTTCAAGTCCATTGTGTGACAGTGAAAACGATGTCTGCACCAAACCAGAGAATACTATAGTCTACTAAGTGAGAGCCACAGTCACTCAAAAGAGGTAAGCCTAGAAATCTACACCAGAAAAACCAAGTGGATGATGAATTCATATTGCCCAGATAATGACATGTAAGAGGAGGAGCCGCTGACTTAAGAATTGCAAATAGACAATGAACTGAGTCCTGAATTGAAAAGGAGGAAGAAAACAGGCTGGATAGCACTGAAGAGACTATGCCATGCATCCAATGATTCCCTAGCTTCTCCCTGAAACAAAAGTCTGTTTCATCAGAAAGATGGCGCTATATGGCTGAAAATCATGAAACATCACAGGCTGAGGACTGAAAATCACAGGGGACCTAAAGGGTAATGGAAAGATGCACTGTGGATATAATTAGCCTATGAGAAATTAGCAATGATGACTTACAAGAAGTGGAAACAACCCTGAGAGATAGGGGCTGTTATCATCTCCATTATACAGATGAGGAAACTGAGGCAGAGAGCAGTTAAGTGACTTACCTAGGGTAATATAGCTATTAAGTGTCCAAGGCAGGATTTGCACCTAACTCTTCCTGTTTCCAGGTCCAATGTTCTATCCATTGAGCCACCGAGCTCTATAAAAACCACACTGAAGGATTCTAACAACTGGAATGGACACATGAAGTTCTCAGCTCAGAAAAGTCTCTGATTTGTTCTTAAACAGAAAGGTATGACTAATTGATGATCCTTAACTATCAGTAAGTCATTAGGTTTAACAGGGAATACCTTGCTTGTTAAGAAAAACAGCTGTAAATGACTATTATGGAAATATTTTGCATGACTATACATGTATAACCTATATCAAACTGCTTGCCTTCTCAATGGGGTGGGGCATGGAGAGGGAGGAAGGGAGAGAATTTGGAACTCCAAGTTTTAAAAATGACTGTTAAAATGTTTTTTTTCCACATAACAGGGGAAAAATAAAATATTAAATAAATTAATAACTTAAAAAAAAGAAAAACAGTTGTAGTGTTAATTGAACCAACTATACCTGTCCAGAAAACGATGTCTCTAGAGTCTTCTGACTTATATTGGCAAATTAATAAGACATTTTTCTATTTATTTAAAATGCCTGTCACCATTTACAATTATCAGAGAGCCTACAAAATCCTTGAATTAAGTCTACAAAAACAGCAGCTTAATTTGACAGTCTACCAGAGCTAGATTTGGAAGTTGGTTAGTTTGCATTTTTTTTTAAATCCATAAATACAATTTCCTTTTATATGGGTCAAAGACAAAGATAAATTATGTTTTGAAACAAATGAAACAAATGACAAAACAAATAAGTTTTGTTTTGAAATACTCACAAATCCTAGGGCAAATCATGTGAAGTAAACCTCCGCTACAATACCTATGATCAAAATACCATGGCACAAAAAACAACCAAAAAGTAAAAATTTATGAATATCTCCCTCCTCCCCCCACAAATCAGGAAAAGGAAGTGAATTACATAGCATTGTATCCTCAGCATTTATTTGAATCCGAAGATTCCAATGTTGATAACACCCCCAAAAATAGGCCATAAATATTTAAATCGCTAAATTGCTCTTTGGGTCAACAAAGGGATCATGTAGATTTGAAAGCTTATTCAAAATACTCACTCTTCATCTTCTTTATGAGAAACTTTTAGCCTTTAAAGCAACATGAGTGAACAGCTCAAGTGTCCCAAGTGTAATGGTAAATTAATGTAATTACAAAAAATACCAAAGATGTGACTGGTTGTTCAAAAATGTAAGAGCACTTGAAAATTGATCAACCCAGAAGTAAAAGTTCAGGGGAACATTTATAAAGTATGTTTTTAAGTACAGTAAAAGAAATATTATTTCTATTTGTGACCAAATTATCAAGCAGCATACACTCATCTTAAATATTTAGAGAGACTTTTATTTCTTCATTTCACCATCTCGGACAGACAGAGAGAGAGAGCTATCAGAGAGGAATTAAAGTGTGATTTTAACATCGAACTCTCATATGTTTTCAGGGTGTAAGTTTTTATTTCTAAATAAGTGTGCATGATAAATAATAATACTTTTTCTTTTATTATGGTGGGTAAAAGTAATTTCTGCATTTTCAACTGATAGCAAATAAGGATCGAATTTAGTTATATCCACCCCAAAGCCAAGAAAAGCAAATACTCCCACATTTTTTGGATCACTATGCATATATCTATGACTTTCAACTTGTAAGGAAAAATCTTAACCATCTTACTGAGGAATAAAATTTTAGTTCAAGGGAAGCTTACCAGGACAATTTTATCATTTGTCTATTATTTGGTTGATCCTCTCCTACTGAAACAATTTTTTAAAAACTACTATTATCAAAAACTATTATTAAAACTATTAATATTTTCTTTCATGTTCGCAAAAGTAGGTCACTCCACACAGGCTTATAAACTTACACATAAGTACAAAAACACATCATGGAATACGGAAAAATCAGAAACAGCAAACTAACCTGCTTCTTCTCATATTGGTTTATCAGGCTCAAAAATAAGGCATAACATCTGGAACAGTCAGCCAAGGCTGCACAGCAGTCGTGACAGGAAGAAAGTTTGCTGCATACACACCATATGGGGAAATAAAAATGAAAAAAATACAAATTTTATTCTTCCATGAAACTCAAATTTGTACTCTGTCCACTGAGAAACCAAGATTCATTTAATAGATTCATTTTTAGAGTTAAAAGATCATTTAGTGCAGCCCCCATATGTAACATTCTACAGCATATACCCTACAATGCACATGGAAACATTTAAAGACTATTATCTAAAAAGCAACTATGAAATAGATTTCTACCTGTATCTGTCAAGTAAAATTGATATTTGTAAAAGGTCAAATTGTTTTATTTTTTAATATAACATTCCACTTTGATACAGCACTGTGGAAATACTGGCTTTATACCAGCTTTCAAAAAAAAATGATTCAAGACAAAGGAAAATTTTTTTTTAATTTGGATATTTTTTTTTGGCCAACGATAAGGAGATTTGACTCATAAAATATTTTATCCCATAAACACTACACAATCAAACAGGCATTAAGAGTGTTTTTCTTTACTGTTTCTAACTTGTATACCCACAATATCCTTCCAGTGAACCCTAAGGTCAGAAGCCTTTGGAGGAAACCTGGACACCTGCAGAAGAGAGCAGGCCTAAGCACTGGCAGGACAGGTAACCATGTGAGTCATAACAGGCAGGGGGTGCAACAAGGAACACTTTCTAATATTTTTTGCAAACGCACACATTTTTATGACAGAAAATTCTACTTTGTCTGGTGCGAAGATATTTTAACACTGATCAGAAAGAAGAGTTGGGGTTCCTAAGAAGTAGCAGCTCCATACATATATATATGTATGTGTGTATATATATATGTGTGTGTGTGTGTGTGTGTGTATATGTATATTTATATATGTGTGTGTGTATATATATATATATGTGTGTGTGTGTGTGTGTGTGTGTGTGTGTATGTATGTATATATCCCCCGTGAACCAGGGGGAACAGTGGCAGAAACAAGGTGAGGAAGAAAAGCAGTGATTTGAAAGTAAACATCTTTTAAAAGTCAGGTGTCCATAAGTTAGGGTGTGCTTACACATTGGGTTAATATTTTTCAGTCTTTTAACAAAGAAACCACTACAGTATTTTATTATAATAGATTTTACCTTCTGTCTGCAAAGCACAACTCAAACTTTATTTGTGGCCACAGCATTTTTAGGGATGGAGAAGGCAGCACATAATTGTATCATTTAAGAGTTGTGTTCACGTATATAAGAGAGAGTAACAACATCTGTGATATCAGTTCACGATCCAGGTCCCTGAGTGAAAAGTTGGCCAGGTGTCTCCATACTCCTGCCACAACTGCGAGTTGTGTCTGATGCAGCTGGGTTGCACTGGGCCAATCAACATCCTTCAATGGCACCTTAAGGTCCAAATCAGTGATAGAATTTTATATCAGCTTGAGGACTGAGGCCCAAATAGAATGGAAGCTCCTTTGGGTCAGAGAATAATTCTTCTTTATCTTTGTATCCCACGTGCCTAGCTACCATACTTTGCACATAAGAGGTGTTGAGCAAATGTTTGTTCCACTGATCTGGGATTTGAAGTTAAAGATGCTGGACCCCTCTGTCCAGACTGTACCCAAACTAAGGTCAATGGAACCAAGTGAATATCTAAGGGAGGGAGTGTTTTTGATCTTGTCAATCATCTTGAGAAGGCTGAGAAATTTATAAAATTAAAATGACTCCATCACAAAGCAGTAAATGTATTCTTTTTTTTTTTTAAGAGATTTCGTTGGTGTGGAACAACATAAGATAGTGGGGACAGCACTGGTCCTAAAGGCAGAAAACGCAGTTTAATATCCAGGATCCTACATTTACTTGTTGGATGAATATGACTATGCCACTTGACCTTTTTAAGATGCCATTTAATCATCTGGAAAGAAGGTGATACACTACTTGATTCACAGGATTGCTATAAAAGAAAGTGCTTTGTAAATCTTTAAGTGCTATGTCAATTTGCATTACATCATAACCCAAACCAATCTTGATAATTAACCAGCAACAGGCAAAGGACCTTTAAGTGCAGAGAAGAAACTAAAAGGACTTGAAATTTGATGGAAATCACCCTTTTTTTTACAGTGAGCTCAAACATACATGAATGCAAGTCCCAACTGCTAATCTAATCACAAGTAGCAGAGGAAGAACACTACAGCATCATACATATTCACAAAGAATCAGATCCTCAAAAAGGAATAGATTCATTCAACCAGTTTTAACTTTGAGTCTGGGATGATTGAGCAATGAGATGTCACTGAACCACTTAAAACTACCAGTAATCACGTCAACTTTCAAGTATTTGCAAGTAGACTATCCAGATTTCTGTTTATTTGTGGCATATCTTGTTTTCACCAAGTCCCTGTTAATAAAAACAAATATAAGGGTGGGGGCAAATTAAGGCAATTAATCACACCCCATTTAGCCCTGATACCTTGGAACACTTCCACCGAGTCAATAAATCAGAAGTATAAACAAGGCCCAGACACCTCTATTTAACCAAACCAAGGCTTTAGACTAGGTACTGTAAGTCCTTTATCAGTCTTAAGGTCCTTCAAAGCCATTGGATAAAACAGAGTAACAATGAAGAGGAAGTATATTGAGATAGGCTGAGAAGACTGGACCATGCCCTGCAGGTTGCATATAGAACAGCAAACCAATCCAGAAGCTAAGGATTCATGTTCCTAGAAGTAGAGAGAAGAGAAATATTCTAGCCAAGGCCTTAAGAAGAAATCATTGGGGTGTGGGGATGAAGTGAAGAGAAGAGCCAGGCATTGGCCTCAATCTGAGCTTCAGTCTTGGTATCCTTTCCCTCTTTCTCACCTTTAGCTAGGAAAAAAAAAAAAAAAAAAACTTGGGAGCTTTGAAGCCTTCAAAGGGAGTCAACCTTGCGGCCAGGGACAACAGCATTCTAGTTCTTACAGCAACTGATCATCATTCCAGGGCTTTGTTATTCTCTTTGAAAGACTGAATTTTCAGAACCTCAAACACAGCCATATTTTGTTGAAAAAAATCATTTGTAAATTGTGGATGTCCTACTGGAGAGCTATCTCCACTAATTCTCCTCCATTTTTACAAACAATCAACAGGCTGTTTTAGACATTCATTCATTCACTCATTCACTCATTCATTCAGCAGCTTCTGGAGTGCCTATTTTATATAAGGTGCTGAGAAAGATACAGTATAATGCCACTAGCTAATTTATTTTCCTGTTGCAAAACCATCCCCAGTGACTAAAAATGCACACAGTGGTGGTTATGAACATAAAGCACTTCAAAAGAATTTTTTAATGTCACTTAATATCATTTCCATTTTGGGATTACTAATTCTGCAAAAGCAATGGTCACAATATTCATGATTGAATGGAAACCATGACTCTAAAAGTTTAGGAAAAACATGTGTAAGTAATAGCTCCACAGTTACAGATTCACTAAGATTTTGAGAAAAATAAATCATATGTATGAATTCAGGAAATACTTTAAGGATACAGCATTATTTCAGTACCAGGTAATGGAACCTAATATCTACCTTTAAATGATCTGAAATAATCTTTCAAGCAGGAAGATTACAGAGTTCTGACTCATAAAGAAGAAACATATTAACATATAATAAAACAAACGTAAAACTGAAAGAACCACAATGCTTTAATTAAGAGTACTAGAATATGAGAACATCTTCTATTCAGAAAATTTAACTTCTTGAAGAAGTTATCCAAAGTACAAGACATTCTCTGTAATGGACTTAGAAGGACAAGCATTCCATAAAGTAAGCAATTCAGTAATACCATGATAAGAGTTTAAAAGAGTAATTTTAAACCTGTCATAGTTCCAAAGAGTACAAACTCAGTACTAACATGAATCACCACAAATGACACTCAAAACAGTTACCATCATGATGTGATACGTACTCTGACCTCATTCCCCAAGAAGGTGTCCAAGCCAAAATCTACAGAGTTTCAAGAAAGGTGTAGATAAATCAGTAGATCCATGTTTAGAGCATTTAAGAGAAATAAGGGATGTTCGAAATGTATCTCATAACCTATAAAGATAATGTTTTGGAAGACAACTACTACATTCTCCCACAGAGCCACTGCTGAAGACCGACTAAATCAGGGGTGGATAAACTACAGCCTTGAGGCCACATGTGGCCATCTAGGTCCTCAAGGGCAGCCCTTTGATTGAATCCAAACTTCACAGAACAAATCTCCTTAATAAAAGGATCTGTCTTTAAAACCTGGACTCAGTCAAAAAGCTGCACCCAAGGACCTAGAGAGCCCTGTGGCCTCAAGGCCACAGGTTCCCCATTCCTGGACTAAATGGACCATGGGTTTGAATCATGACTCTAACACCATTTAAGTCAATTTTTGCATTTGTTATATATCTTATGCAGTACAGGAAGTCACACTTAATATACCTCTGTGACTTCTGTCAGGAAGCATCTTGACCATGTTGTCTATGGGTACAACACAAGCCCTTTGCCTACTGTCACATTTAAAAAGGTTCGTGAGATAATTTCTTGGTAATTTAATCATTTTATTAATAAGGCCAACACGTTTACTAATAAATGGTCATTTGGCTACCTCTCTTAGACCAAAGACCTTCATGGCGGGGGGCTCACAATCTATATATATATATGCTCTTGGAAGAATAGGTATTCATCAGAGTGGAAATCAACTCTGATTGGTCAACAATCAGTGAGAAAATGAATGTTACAATAAGAGGGTGGTCTATATTAAATGAGGGTCTTGGGGTACATGAATTGGGTCACCCAAGTCTCAGTCAAAAGGACTTATCAATTTCCATATCATCTGTCTGACAAAAGGGATAATCAATACCTCCCAGACCTATCTGAGCAAATACAATGAGCAGGAATGCACCCATTAGCCCAAACTTAGAATTTCTTTTACTGTCTGATTAGATCTTGGCCTGGATATATCTTTGAGATAGAGTTTCCACACTGATTTCTGGATAAGGAAGTAGAAAAAGGGAAAAATTTTGGTCCTAATACAATAATTAGTTATTAAATACAAGAGAGAAATACTAATTTCTCACATTATTTAACACAGAATTTAAAAAATTCCACCAATTGTTACTAGATTTAAGATTGTGCCAAATGGAACCATTAATTTTGCTTACTGAATATGCTTTTTCAAGTCTCATTTATTTTGTCAAGATTATTTATCTGATTTTTTCAAAAAGGCATACAAATATATTAAGTTCTTTCTCAAGTGTCCTTAAATACTTTGGGATTTGGGGTATTATCCTCGGAATATTTATCAGGAAGGAGACCCAAAGAAGACTGGTGTTATCCTGAACTTCTGCTGTGTGCCTTTTCCCATAGTTTTACTTTTTTTTTTTTTGTTTAAACTTTTGACTCCAGAGTTTCCCGCAATGGCTCAAACCTGGTCATTATCCAACACAGTAAAAGAATGTACTTGTTCTACAGGAACCTGGTCGTTGGCTTGATGCAAGTTTCCTTGAAATAACATAAGGAATATTCACAGAGAGAAAAGAGCATTATAAATGCGACTTAGCTTCACTGAGATTTTTGAGAAGTAAACAAGGCAAAATTGGAGCCAGCTAGCACTGAGGTACAGGTTTCAAATATCACACATCTATAAGGACTTCATTTCCAAACTCACATTTTGAGAGATACTCATGACATCTGGGAAGATACACTGAAATAAATAATAGTATTTCTTTAAACCACAGTGACATTCAGAAATGTGCACAGAAATGCAGCATAAAGCCTAAGAGAAAAAAATACAGCACTGGGTCTTCAAAAGGCTTGTGCTTTAGGCCTGGCTCTGCTCCCATCTTTAGAGAAGTCATTTAAACTTCCTGTAATTCTGTGTCTCCTCTGTAAAATGGCATTAATTAGATCTCTCTCAGAGGGGAACTTTTAACATATTTATAGAATATGCTGAGATTCTCTGAAAAACACTTTATGAAATCAACCTACCATCTGCAAAATGAATACTAGTTATTAGTAGTGTGTGTGCCAGAAATGTGAATTGCGAGGAAACCACTGCATTATTGGAAGGCAGTATCATAAAAATAACAAAAAAAGACATGTAAAAATCTAAAGTAACACAATATCCTAAGATTTGGTTTTTCCCCCTTTAATGCTACATACCTTAATATTCTAGCAATGTTGGTGCAGACATCCTTATCATTTGCATACTGTTCCATCACTCCACAGAGATCTGGAAGGGCATTGTTGTTCAACAATTTACACCTTGCCAGAGGTACATCAACCAAATTTCTCATGGTAGCAGTCATCTACAACAACAACAAAAAAAAAATTTGTGGGTTGTTTTTTAATGAGGTAAATACTATGCAAATCCTATCATAAAGCATCTCACAATTCCATGAAGGTCAAATTTAGCCCTGTCATAAAGTACATCACTCTCCAAGTAACATAAAATAAATAACAGAATATGAAACATACAAAATATAAAACAACAGAAAATAAATGGTGCTAGGTTTTCAATGTTAGATTATAATGCTATAGAACATATGAGAATCAGGAATAGTGAATGAAGATGAATTGAAGCATTCATAACACAAAGGAGAAAATCTCAAAGATGAAAAAAATATGATGCATTTGTATACAAAAGAAAGCAGAACTACACAAATCACTGCCTAGCATAGCTTATTTATAGTCATAATAGTTTCAATTGGATTAATCAAACAACATAAATTTACAGAGATGAGAAGCCTCACTTTCATACTTCTAAACAGCAATGAAATAATGACAGGAAATTAATATTTGAGATGGTTTAATTCTCTGGTAAGGGTAAGCACTGAACTGCTGGGTTCACAAAAGCACTATTACTAAATCAAACCTCATCAGCAGAGGACCAACAAAGATTTAGAGCTGGAAAGGACGATGGGCACTAGCGTGCTGGTAAATGTTTAACAACCAGCTCTTCAGAAAGAAAAATGTGCCCCCACATACTTTTAAGTTTAATCTTAATTATTTTCATTTCCTCTGGTGTTGTTTTTCTTAAGTCTACACAATCCACAAAATAATAAATCAAGCCTCACTTACATAGCATTTGCTGATTTCTAAAGTGAAAATGCTCACACTAAAAACTGAACAATTGGCCTTCATGAGCCAGTATGAGCTGGCTCTAGTACAGCCCTGACCTTAGGGATCATCTTGTTAAAATGCTTTAATAAGGAATGGGGATGGGGAAACCCAAGCCTAGAAATATTAAGTAACTCGTACAAGGTCAAACAGAAATTAAGAAGCAGAGCCAAGATTTGAACCCTGGTGTTCTGACTCTAAATTCCATGCTCTTATTAACATGCTTAAATTTCATGTCTCCAACTTTGAAAAAACACAGAAAGGCCACCTCCTTTTTGCCTTAGTTCAGAAAAAGAGTTAAGACTAAAAATAATTTTGTAAACCATAAGCCAATTTTTTTCAGCATTAACAGTTTGTTTAAACAGGCGAGGCTGAATTGTTTTAATTGTTTATCACATCTTTTTCTCATTTTTATCTGTTTCAGTTTTGTATCAGTTTTGATCTTTGTTCTAACAAGGAGGTGGTCTGACCCTACAGGGACAGCTGATTCAGGAATGACTCCCTTATCAGGTGGTAATGCTGGAACCTTACTCTCATCTGGGTTGAAGAGGAAACAAAGTGTACATCTAGAGAGGTTTAGAAGTCTTTGGAACTTCGAGAGGTGAGAAAACGGGGGGACAGAGTGGGGAAGGGACTTTTAAAAGGGTATGTAAAATAAGATTAGGAGGGGTCAGGGAGAAGATAAGGGAAGGAATTTTAGAAGGGAGGATAAAACATAACAAGGGGAAAAGATAAGGCAACAGGGATCGGGTAAAAAGAGAGGTTGAGAAGGAAAATAGTGAGTAAAAATAAGAGGGAGGGAAATTCACAAATAGTAATTAGAACTTTGTCAAATCTATAAGAATATAAGTCATTCCCCAATCGATAAATGGTCAAAGGATAAGAATAGGCATTTATACAGTGAAGAAATCTAAACAATTTATAGTCATATAAAATGCTCTAACTCACTGTTGATTAGAGAAATGCAGATCAAAACAATCTTGAGATATAATTTTATACCCACCAGATTGGCTAAAATGATAGAAAGGGAAAGTGACAAATGGTAGAATGTGGAAAAACTGGGACACTAATTCATTGTTTGTGGAATTGTAAAATGATCCAACCATTTTGTAGAGCAATCTGGAAATATACCCAAAGAGTTATTAACCTACTTATACCCTTTGTCCCACCAGTACCATTACTTGGTCTATTTCCAAAGATGATTGAGGAAAAGGAAAAGAACCTATATGTTCTAAAATGTTTATAGCAGCTCTCTTTGTAGTGGCAAAGAATTGGAAATTGCCAGGATGCCCTTCAATTGGGGAATAGCTGAACAAGTTGTGTTATGTGATTGTGATGAAATATGATGAGCTCAATGATTTTAGAAAAACATGGAAAGACTTGCAGGAAATAATGAAAAGCAAAATGAACAGAACCAAGAGAACATTGTATACAGTAACAGCAATATTGTTTTAAGAATGATTTTGACTTGAGCAAGTCACTTAACCCCAACTGCCTCATCAAAAAGCAAAAAAAAAAAAAAGAATGATTTTGAGTGAACAAGTCATTTTGTCTGTTACAAATACCTAAATTAACTATAAAGGATATATGAAGAAAGACACTATCTGCATCCAGAGAAGAACTGATAAATAGATGTATAGAATAATTTTGCACATATATACACCTATTTGTGTCTAATAGTAATCACTTCTAGGGCAGGGAAGGTGAAAAAAAGGGAAAAAAATAAACTTATGTGATAATTTTATTGTATATTTGAAAAGAATAGCAAGTTGTGCACAGTAGATTTAGTTTCATGTGCAATCATTTTTCTATTGTACTATGTTATGAAAATGTTTATTTTATTCCATAAATTAAAAATAATATTTAAAAAACACTAAGTAACACTTTGGATTACAAAGAGTCTGTGCTCTCATTTTTCCCATCCCAACCAGAAAGGAGTAGAATAAAAATGTGTACAGACCAAATCTGCTGGGCTGGCATTCGGGTGGGGCTTTCTCTGCCAGTCCCTGCCCCTTTTAGGCCCTGATATTCTCAAACCAGAGGAAAAATAGAAATGGAAATAATCCACTGATAACCTCCTGAAAGAGACCCCAAAATGAAAACTACCAAAAATATTATAGCCAAATTCCAGAGCTCCCAGGTCAAGGAAAAAATATTGCAAGTAGCCAGAAAGAAACAATTCAAGTATTATGGAGTTGCAGTAAGAATAACTAAAGATTTAGCAGTTTCTACATTAAAGGATTGGAGGGCTTGGAATATGATATTCCTGAGAGCAAAGGGGCTAAGATTACAACCAAGTATCACCCACCCAGCAAAATTGAGTATAATCCTTCAGGGGGAAAATAGACAGTCAATGAAATAGAGGATTTTCAAGCATTCTTGATGAAAAGACCAGAGGTGAATAGAAATCTTGACTTTCAAATATAAGACTCAAGAGAAGCATAAAAAGATAAACAGGAAAGGGAAATCATAAGGGACTTAATAAGGTTAAACTGTTTACATTGCTACTTGGGAAGATGATACTTGTAACTCGTTAAGAACTTTCCTATCATTAGGGCAGTTACAAGGAGTATATATACACAGAGAGCACAGTTCTGAGTTAAATATGAAGGGATGACATCTAAAAAAATAAAATTAAGGGGTGAGAGAGGAATGTACTGGGAGAAAAGGAAAGGGAGAGTTAGAAAGGGGTAAATTTATCTCACATAAAAGAGGCAAGAAAACGCTTTTACAGTGGAGGGGAAGGAGGGGAAGGGGGGGAAGATGAGGGGGAGTAAGTGAACCTTACTCTCATCAGAATTGGCTCAAAAAGGGAATAACATATACACTCAGTTGGGCTTAAAAACCTATCTTACCGTACAGGAAAGCAGGAGGGGAACAGGATGAGCAAAGGAGAGGGGATGATAGAAGGGAGGGCAGATTGGGGGAGGGAGTAGTCAGAAGCAAAACACTTTTGAGGAGGGACAGGGTCGAAGGAGACAGAGAATAGAATAAATGGGGTGGGGGGAATAGGATGGAGGGAAACAGCAATAGTAACTGTCAAACAAATTTTGAAACAAGTTTCTCTGGTAAAGGCCTCGTTTCTCAAACATATAGAGAACTGAGTCAAATTTATTAAAATAAGAGCCATTCCCCAACTGATAAATGATCAAAAGATATGAAAAGTTTTCAAATGAAGTAATCAAAGCTATCTATAGCCATATAAAAAAAGTTCCAACTCATTAATGATTGGAGAAATGCAAATTAAAATAATTCTGAGGCACTACTTCATATCTATTAAATTGGCTAATAAGACAGAAAAGGAAAATGACAAACGTTGGAGGGAATGTGGGAAAAATGAGACATTAATGCACTGTTGATGGAGTTGTGAAAAACTGATTCAACTGTTCTGTAGAGCAATTTGGAACTACGCCTAAAGCGCTATAAAACCATGCACACCTTTTGACCTAGCAATACCACTACTAGGTCTGCATCCCAAAAGAGATAAAAAACAAAAAGGAAAAGGACCTATACGTACAAAAATATTTATAGCAGCTCTTTTCTACTGGCAAAAAACTGGAAATTGAGGGGATGCCCATCAATTGGGGAATGGCTGGACAAACTGTGATCTGTGATTATGATGGAAGAGTCACTATAGTGCTATAAGAAATGATGAGCAGGATACTCTCAGAAAAAGCTGCAAAGACTTACATGAGCTAATGCAAAGTGAAATTGACTGTTTACAAAGTAACAACAATATCATTGCTGTGATCAGCTGTGAATGACTTGGCTATTCTCTGCAATACAATAATCCAGGACAACTTTGAAGAACTTTTGATGAAAAATGTTATCTATCCCGAGAGAAAGAACTGACGATGTCTGAATACAGACTGAAGCATCCTTTTTTAAACTTTATTTTTCTTGAGGTTTTTTTTGGGGGGAGGGTCTATGTTTTCTTTCACAACATGACTCATATGGAAATGCTTTGCATGACTACACATGTATAACTTACATCAAATTATTTGTCTTCTCAACAGTGGGGTGGGGTGAAGAAGGAGGAAGGGAGAGAAGTTGGAACTCAAAGTTTTAAAAACAAATGTTTAAAATTGTTTTTACATTTAACTGGGGGAAAATAAAATACTAAAATAAATGTTTTTTAAAAAGAAAGTTATAGGAACATTCATAACACTAAGCTATAACTCAATAGCCC